GAGAGAATACTACGTGGAGCCAATGACCATCCATTTGTCATTGCTGGACCAGAGCAAGCACCTAGAGAGGGCTGTCATAAGTTAACAAAATGGGATGTTTAAGGATCAGCTGGCAAAATTTCTCCTGAAAGAATGGCAAGAAGATCACTATGGTTCCATTCTATCAAACAATACGCTAATTGTGTCCCATGGTGGCAACTGTGTCCGGCTCTCTTTTAATAAGCTTGATTTGAAGATGAATGTTGAAAATCAAGCTAATCTCCAGGGTAGTCATGAGGAAGCAGATACTCTCATTGCATTCCATGCATCTGGCACCACTGAAAATATAATCATTAGAGCCTCTGATACTGATGTCCTAATTATTCTCATTGGAATGCTAGGAAGACAGCTGACAAATGACAGACCTACATCATACAGTCGCATTATTATGGATTGTGGATCGGGTAATAGCCGTCGGTTAATTGATGTCAAGCATTGTCACCGCCCAGAGTCAAAGCAGGACGGATTAGCTGCAGCCATTCCAGGTCTTCACGCATTTACTGGCTCAGACTTCACCACCGCATTCTACAGAAAAGGTAAATTGAAGCCACTTGAGGTTCTCGTAAAAGACACAGAAGGAACACTTATTCAGTTCTTCAGCAAACTGGCTTCTTCTGAAGATGAACCAGACCAGAGAAAAGCAGAAGAGTTTGTTTGTTCCTTGTATGGCTTGAAGGGTGATGTAAAAGATGTCAATGAGGCCAGGCTCCTAAAACTGTGTCAGATGATGGGTAGACTGGATCAGGTACTGTATCAGAAATCATTTCATATAGGAAGGAAATAAATATACATAACAGTAACCTAATAACCTAAACTACAATTTTCCATTATAAATGTGCTTTTGTTTGTGGATTAACGTAAATTAGCATTAATTAAAAATATTCCCAGTGGTGTGTGAGTTTTAAAACATTGATAACTAATTTGTAGTCTAAATATCTATTTTGTTTTAGGAGAACCCGATGTCCAATGTGAAGAAAGTAGACTGCGCACTTCTTCCACCTTGTACGAAGACTGTACATAAAAAAATGCAACGGGCACATTTCATCAGCATCCTGTGGGGAAATGCTGGCTCTGCACATCCCGGACTTGGTTTGGATCCTCTGAATTACGGATGGAAGGAAAAGAATGGATACTATACTCCTGACTGGTATTCGGGACATTCAATGCCAAATTATCTTTTCCAGGAAGAGGAACGAGAGGAGGATATTACAGTGAATCTCCAGAGTGTCCAACCAGATGTCGCTGAGGAGTTTGATGATGATAATGATGATGACGACGATTCATGTTTCAGAATTTCTTGGAGTGATGATTCAGAAAATGATAACTCAGAAAGTGAAACGACAATTAAAATTAATATCAATTATCATGAAGACATGAAGACTTGATAGCGACTTTACTTACTCTTTAGATTATAATTATAATTATAATACCGATCATGTAAAATCTGTGGCACCTCCATTTATTTTTTTTGTGGGGATTTACTTAAAACAAAAAAACTTTTAATCCAGTACCTTGATGTTTATGACTAATATAGGCCTAAGTATCCTATGATCTGGAGGCCTTATGTAGAGTAACATTTGGAAAGGGTCATTGTTTGCTTTGTGAATGTACCTATTCGTTTCATGTGATGTACTTTCACCATCTATTTTAGCACACAGTGTTCACAGAGGGCAACTTTTGGGGGTGACGGGTGGAACCTATACAGCGGATAATTTGTCTGGCAATACACTTTTTTATACTTAGTATCTCCAGTACATGATCTAGCCCAATTATATCACAGTGTCCAGCATAGGGGACCCTTTTGAGGGTGTCTGGCGGGACATATACAGCGGATAATTCGTCTGGCAATACACTTGTTATATTTAGTAGAGTGTGTTTGTTAATTTTAAGTTGATTTTATGTGGTATCTCCAATACATGATCTAGCCCAATTATATCACAGTGTCCACAGGGGCAACTTTTGGAGGTGTCTGGCGGGACATATCCAGCGGATAATTTGTCTGGCAATACACTTTTTATACTCAGTAGAGTATGTTTGTTAATTTTAAGTTGATTTTTAGTGGTATTTCCAATACATGATCTAGCCCAATTATATCACAGTGTCCACAGGGGGAACTTTCGGGGGTGTCTGGCGGGACATATCCAGCGGATAATTTGTCTGGCAATATACTTTTTATACTTAGTAGAGTATGTTTGTCAATTCTAAGTTGATTTTAAGTGGTATCTCCAATACATGATCTAGCCCTTAAATTTAGGACCCTTTTGGGGGTGTCTGGCGGGACATATCCAGTGGATAATCTGTCTGGCAATACACTTTTTATACTTAGTAGAGTATGTTTGTTAATTTTAAGTTGGTTTTATGTGGTATCTCCAAAACCCATTTTTCAGCCCCTTAATTGGTGCTCCAGGGGCACACCCAGCAGGGGTCCCCGGCAGACGTCCATATATTGTTATGTTACATATAAATGTTCCTGTACTCGGATATTGGTACCTTGTTCGTTTGATCAAACTGCTCTTGGCTGCCGGTCTATATACAAAAAGTCTCCAGCCGGAGACATACGGTTAGTAGAGCGGCTAAGGAGAAAAATCGTGCACTTCTGGAAGAAAGCATGAAACTTCCCACAGTGATACCTAAGGATCATTAAAAAAATAGACCCCAAAAAATAAGCCGCTTAGTGGCCGCCATCTTTAAATTAAAAATGGCCGCCAAAATATTGGATTTTTATCAATAATCTTCATATCTGCAGCACCTAGCACTGTCATTTAAAGGTCTTTACCTATGTTATCATGGAGTAGTATGCAGTGATCATAAATTATATCAGATGGCCGCCATATTTGATTTCAAGATGGCTGCCAAAATATTGTTATTTTTGTCATCTTCATATCAACAGTAACGTAACATAGTCAATCACACCTTTAACCATGTTTTTAATATCATAGAGTATCACATATATATACACAGTATATATATATATATATATATATATATACAGGTCGGATTTTCCTGTAGGCCTAGGCCTAGCTTATTATAGTAGCCAGGCATAAAATGTTATGAGTCATGAAATAACTTCTCTGAGTAACAAGGGACGGAGTATTATTCGGCTACCACTTCCAATTCCAACATAGGCTTACTAAAACTTTAGGAAATGCGAAAATCTGATTTTGAGGTAGGCGTAAGGCCGGCCCGACGCTTAAATGTCGCTGTCATTGCGACAAGCAGAGCGGATAAGGAGAAAAATCGTGCACTTCTGGAAGAGAGCATGAAACATGTTTTTGATCTACTTGTTTATTATATGATGCAAAAACGCTTCTAGACAATCGAATACAAAATGTTTTATTCGTGTATACATATACAACAGGTGGGCAAAGTGCGGCCCGCGAAAATGCAACATTGGCTAGAAAACATCTTATTGTTTACGGCCAGACGCCGATTATGTAAAAAAGTAACATTAAACTGAGAATAAAGTGGTGTAAAAGCAGTACTTTAAGGATTTTGAAAACTCAATGGAAACATCAAAGTTTGGGTGCATTTGCATGCAGTTTGAGTGCATTTAGCACTGTTTCTGTCATTATTTGATTAGTTATACTGTACCACAATGCTATGCAGCAACATTGATTCTATGTTACTTCATTATAATACAGGTATGACTTCTAGAGTAATTCTTTGGCAAACAGTATATCAACAAACAGTATAAGGAATTTTTTTTTTATTTGATAGGCTATTTTTGATACGATACTCACATCACTTTCCATTTATTCGAGCTCTGTTTTCACCATTATTTAATTATATAAACAGAGTGCTACACACAAAAATTAATTATATATATATATATGTATATATACATATATATATATGTTATATATATCTAGAAGTTTATTCGATATTATTGCCTTCATGCCATTACTTGAATGTAATACGGTATTTAATTTATGTCTACATAATTTCATTCATGCTAAAGTTATCTATATACTTTTCTTAATTTTTCTTGATTTTTCTTTTATTTCTTTTCACTTTCTCCATTATATTCATTTTCTATACTTTTTTATTTCATTTCCTTTCCAGTTTTTTCTTTTCCTTTCAGTTCTTTATTTTTCTTTCTTTAATTTTCTTTTCTGTTTCTTTTCCTTTCAGATATTTACATATGTATATATGTATATATATCATTTGAAAATGATAATTATGTCTTCACACCATGGCGGCCATTTTGAAATTTATTATGGTGGTCTTCTGACATAATTTCTGATGGCTGTATAGTAGTCCCTGATATCGAAAACATGGGCAACAGTCTTTGATTGACAGTGGTAGGTACAGTACACATGTAGATATGAATATTGACAAAAATATCATTTATTTGGCGGCCATCTTGAAATCCAATAGGGCGGCGTCATCTGACATAATTTCTGATGATTGCATTACACTCCTTAATATTGAAAACATTGGTAATGATCTTCAATTGGCAATGACATGTGCTGTAGATATGAAAATATTGGCTTAAAAATCAATTATTTTGGCGGCCATATTGGATTTCAAGATGGTGGCCATTAGGAGGCGTTATTTTTTGGGGTCTATTTTTTTTTTAATGATCTTTAGGTGTCATAGTATCACTATGGAATGTTTCATGCTTTCTTCCAATTCTTCCGATTCTACCTGAAATTCAACCTTAGCCGCTCTACTCGGTAGGCCACTGCACACAGAACCAACGGAAACGTCTCATCCGATAGAAAATGCGCTAATTGAAATTTGCAATACCACTTAAATGTTGATTTTCTGACATTGATGAAATGTACGTAGAGTTAGTTTGTTGATGAGTATGACTGGGGCGGATGTAGGGGGCGGGGGTGCAGACGGTGCGATCGCACCCCCTAAATTATTGTATTGAGAAAAATAATTGTTGTATTGTATTGCTGATATGAATTACGCTTTTTTATAACAACCAATAAAATTTTGCCCAGACTCAGTGTTCTTATTTTTTTTTTGCCGATTTCTTCAGGCTCAAAATGTTCTTATTTTGTTCTTATTTTTAAACACTTTTCAAACTAGAAAATTATTATTGTACTGCAGTATAGTACGTACCACTGTACTGTAATGTATTATAGAGGGTACTGTATTGTATAGTCGCGCCTACTGCAAAATATGGTACATAGGCCTATAAGATTTGTTGCTTTTCTATTTTTAAAAATAAAAACATCATTTGACATTTTTCCTCAGCCTAAATTTGTTCTTAATTTTTAAGCAATTTCAGCCTCAATGTTCTTATAAAATGTGTTTTTATAAAAAAAAAAAAAATAAAAGTGTACCTGTAAGATTTTTAAGGTATGAGCCTTACATCTCCCTGGTATGAGAGTGCAATTTCCGGGTACCTAGAGGCAGGCGCGGATCGAGACCTTCGCACTGTTCGCCATGGCGAAGGTCAGAGTGAAAAG